ATACTGAAGGTTAGCCATAGCTATGAATGTTCATTAAATTAAAACCTCAAAGTTGAATAGAGTACTAAGAGTCAAATCTTCGTGCAATTAATTTAGCATCTGTAATGTCTTTCAATTTATTCTCCTCACCCGCGGGTAAAATATCCAGCAAAGCGATTGAGCAATGCACTAAAGTAAAAGCTGAGTGATAATTAATCACTATGAATATTATGTTATGACCAGCATTGTTGCTAATGTACAATGACATCAGATTTACTGTACTTGTACATGTCATACGTTTCAGAGTGCTTATTGTCTCGCCAAATTAGGTCCTCACTCGTAGTAAAATATCCAAAGCGATTGAGCAATGCACTAAGTAAAAGCTGAGTGATAATTAATCATGAATGTTGTGTTATGACCAGCATTGTTGCTAATGTACAATGATATCAGATTTACTGTACTTGTACATGTCATACGTTCAGAGAGCTTATTGTCTCGCCAAATTGGGTCATGTACCACTTTGTAGAATTTACGCCAATACTGCGCAACAGAATGTAGCCCAAAAAAGAAAGTTGTGATCAGTTGCGAATCATCAATAAAGATCTTATATCGCGAAATAGCTGATCCTATATCCGCAAAATAGCTGATCTTATATCCGTAAAATAGCTGATCTTATATCCGCAAAATACATTTTCTCCAGAAACATTAGCATACAATATGTCGGACTATCCACAACAACAGCAGCAAAATCAATCTTCTCTTGATACTGACAACCAACAGGAACATATGAACGACTCGCCTCCAAGAGACTCTATGCAATGGGAGCCTGTAACGCAAGGGGAGCCTGCAATGCCACTACCATCCACGGACACGTATACCGATGCAAAAGTTCAAGATTTGCAAACTCATCTACCGGTAAATATCCAAAAGAATGTCAACTCGCGTTATATATATTAATCGATCAAAGAAACGAGTTTCCGCAATCAACCTGCCCCCTGCTCATATGAATTCCATCTAACGAACCATCATCACAATTCCACAACCGCTAACCAGGAAAATCGCTCTAAAACTAATAACACATACAAGGACTGGATCGAAAATAGCATACGAGAAGGGCTCATCAATTGTTATTCCGAAACGGATATTAGCATAGACCAGCCTATTTCGTTTACTCGCCGCGCGTACGCTGCCACACATACGGGCATAATAAAGCATACCAGAGAAAATGTAGCAATAAAGATATTGTTTCCCCCCGACGAGGGGAACTACAGGGGGGGGGAAGTTGTATAAAAAATTCGTCGACAAGGTTTGTTGCAGATTTTATGTACAGTAATGGTCTTTAGCATCTCTTACCAAGATTCATATAACTAAAATACAATTTTGAACAATTTATCAATGCTATTAGCTTAAAAACCACAAGAATATGGGCCATCATCCATATATCATTCAATTTCTAGGTCTATACAAAGGTATATTTTATAACTTTATATTCAATAATTATTTTCAAGAAGTACGGCTAACTTTTTCTAATTTTCAAGATAAAACTGAAAATTATCACTTGGTTTTTGAATTTACCGAAGGCGGGACACTGCATAGATATCTGTCTTGCAACTTCGTTACTCTGACGTGGAAAGATAAGTACAAGCTAGGCTTGAAAATTACCGACGGCTTAAGTTATTTGCATGAACTTGGTATCATTCACAAGGATTTGGTAATATTAATACTTCCTTTTTTTTTTATCATTTGCATGTCTGCAAGCTGTTATCTCACATTCTCTACATTGTTTCTATTTACATTATAATTAGTCGTCTGCAAACATTCGAATACAATCTGGAAATGCCAAAATAACGAATTTTGGTATGGCTGCGTTTTTAGAAAAAATCACTTTGACAAGAGGTGAAAGTGCAACAGCCTACAGGGATCCATTATCACTTAATGATAGGTCATACAAACGGGGAAAGAAGTCGGACATTTTTAGTCTTGGAGTAGTGCTTTGGGAGATTTCTAGCAGCAAACTCCCATGTGAAGGATGTACGAAAAGTGTTGAAGTTGTCAAGCATAGGCAGCAAGGTTATCGTGATCCTCCTTGCCCTGGAACACCTGTTGCATATATTATGCTATATTCACAATGCTGGAGTGAAAATCCTAACAATAGACCGCTATGTAAAGAAGTACTTTGCTCTATAAATTTATTATTAAATATGTGCCTACTTACAAGAGAATTGAATTTTCAATCTCAAAACCTTGGAGACTTGGGTGCAGCAGCTATAGCAAAGGCTCTGGAAACAAACTCTTCTCTGTTTAAGTTGGATATTTCAAATAATCAAATTAGAGATATAGGAGCGACAGCTTTGGCAAAGGCTTTGCAATTAAATTTTTTTCTGACTCAATTGGATATTTCAAATAATCAAATTAAGGATACAGGAGCAACAGCTTTGGCAGAGGTTTTGGAATCAAATTTAGCTTCTTCTCTGATTGAATTGCATATTTTAGCTAATCAGATTACAGATATAGGAGCAACGGCATTGGCAAAAGCTCTAGAAACAAATTTTCTGCTTGTATTATTGGATGTTTCAGATAATCAGATTGGATATATAGGAGCAACAGCTTTAGCAAAGGGTCTAGAGAAAAATTCTTCTCTGGAAGAGTTGTATATTAGATATAATCAAATTGGAGATGCAGGAGTAACAGCATTGGCAAAAGCATTGGAATCAAATTCTTCTCTGATCAGCTTGGACGTTTCAATTAACCAGATTGGAAATATAGGAGCCACGGCTTTGGCAAAGGCTCTGAAATCAAATTCTTCTCTGGAAGTTATATTTATTTCAGATAATCAGATTGGACATATAGGAGCAACGGCTTTTGCAAAGGCTCTGGAATC